GAGAGAGAGAGAGAGAGAAATGTGTGTGAGAGAAAGAGAGAACGAGACAGGTGGTGATTAATATCAATTCATTATTCCGATTAAGAGTAAACAATTTTCCCATTTCCCTTCCTTTCTCTTCTTTTTTTCGCGGACTTAGAAACTGGTGAGACGATGACACGAAAATTTGAAATTACGCGTCGTTTATTTACAATGAAACTCGTGCTTCTTTCATTTTTTTTTTCTTTCGTCTCCCTGCGAGAAAAAATGGAATTAAAGAGAATTTGATCTTTGTTATTATATCTAAAATGAAAAAAAAGAAAAGAAAAGACGGAAAACTTAATCTTTCTTCATCTTTTTTCATATTTTTTTCTGCATTTCAATAATTCATAATTGAAATATTCATAATTGCATTTCATAATTGAAATTGAAATCGAATTTGTTCTAGAATTCCATTTTTTTCCTTACAAGGTTCTCTTCTTTCGATTGTTCTTCTCTTACAATGCGATGCTACGATGAGGATGCGTGTTACATGCGTATGCACATTATGTCATTATTTACAAAAAATGCACACATTCATACCGCGTTTACCCTCCACTCTAGATTTTAACAATGTGGGCGACAAACAATGAAAGCGAATGATTTTTATTCTTTTTTCTTTTCTTTTTGTTATGAAAAACGCATGACTAGATGATACCGACAGAATGCTGATCAATTCGAGCCGATCATTGAGAAGGAAATAAAAAGTGTCGGGATATGTGTTGTTTTTTTCTGTATCTTGTTTTGTTTTTTTGTCGGACTTTTTATTAACGAGAGAACAACAGTTGAGTAAAAGTTAAATCGACTAGAACACTGGCTAGAGTAAAAAGACCATCTCTTCGGCTCAAGTAAAGTCAGTTTCAACGCAAAGTAGAGAAAGATAAATAGAAAAGGAAAAAGAGAAAAAAAAGAGAAAAGGAAATAAGTATTAAGTAGAAAAACAGAGACGGAAAAGAAAGAAAGGAAAAAAGACAAAGAACGAGAAGGAAAGAAAGGCAAAGAGACAAGTGGAGAGAGCTGGCGACAGAAGTGTTCGTATCGAAGTTCGATCGGTGAAGAATTACTATTGACGGAGCAGCAAACAGAGACGGACAGATCGAGATAAGATCGATAGACAGATAAATAGGTAGACAGACAGACAGACAGACAGATAGACAGACAGAAAGAGTGAGAGAGATCATTAACTGTTCTAATCTAATTAGTCATAGAGTATAGGAGAATTACCAATAGTAAGAATAACCACGATAATCATAATAATTCTAACGTCGTTAGCATCGATAAGTATAGTATAATAATTTAGCTTTTTTTTTTACTTTTGATAACGTTTCAAATTCCCCGTGCTTCGTTTCCTTTTCTTCGTTTTCATTTTCCTTCTCTTACTTTTGCTTTCTTTGAGCTTAAAATGAATCTCGCTCGCGCCTGGCTTTTCGTTCTCGTCGCGATCGCGACGTGCAATTATCATGTTACGGTGTATGTAAGGCCGCGTTTATTTAATCGATATCAATATACATCATCGCGATGATAAGTCGTGCAATTACATCACGCTTCGCTGATCGCTGTGATGCCAGTGGCGAAACATTCAGGCTAACAAATGCTCATCAAATTTCTGATCCGTTTCTTGTTTTCTCTTGTAGTCTGTCTCTTCTTTAATCAAACATAAAATTATGTAATATTAAATATATTGACCATGAAGTTTAAATCGGTTGATTAGTTGATTTAAGATAATCAAAATTAAATTAAATTGTGTTTTGTTATAGCGAGATAATTCTCGTCACAAATTTTAAAAATATTATAAAATATTATAACGCTAAAAGCCTAATTTGAATCTTAATTTGAATTGGAAGCATGATAAAGGCATTCTCATCAGGCACCATTGTTGCATTTCGCGTGTCTCAATTTTGGAAAAAAATCTCTAATCAAACTGAAAAGTCCATAATGTAACTTCAATTCAACTCTCGTATGCAAGTCGAGACATATCAAAAGTAACATTAAGTAACATACGTAACTGTGTCTCATAAAATTTGATGAGAGTTTTTCTTTTCTCAGGGAATCCGCGCGCCAATAATACGTAATAATATATCGAGATTAAAAGAATCTATATATGGAGTAT